CAGAAGACAACTACATTGATAGATTACTGACTTCTTCAAGCTAAAGGAACCATTGCACTATGCTGGAGGAGCATGGAGGCCCCCTCCTCTGGATCTGGAGGAATAAAGCTGCAGGTTCAATCGGACTGGAAAAACTAACATAGGTTGCCAAGGGCAAACAACGGAACTTTGAGAAACTATGTGAGCCATATAGGAGGATCATAGGGACTGAAGGTGGAGCTTACTGATTAATGTCTTAACTACAGTTTCTATCCATATATTGCCTCGTTATTTTTCTCTGCCTTAATCTAAAGACTTTTGCGTATTTTTGGAACTAAACAAATGCAGGTTTAAATGGTGAATGCATGAGTGAATGTAAGTGCATTTTACAAGGTTACAAGGTTTACAAGGTTTACAAGGTCTGATACGAAGAAGAATCCTCGTTTGCCCACTGAGCGATTTGCCCACAACCACCTTAAGACGGCCGACTGAATTTCAAACATGTTTGATTTTCTCCCAACCTTACAGTTCCTGATCGGGACGTGGTCTTGTGGGGCTGATCGCCCCTCGTTACCCTCTGTATGCTACACGATGCACGATCAGGTTGAAAGCCGGCCTGATTTAAAAATTCTGGCACTGGAGAATCGGCCCGAAAAGGGCAATAAATCGTACAATGTGTTAACCAGAAATCCTGCTTTAAATAATCCAATTATGTAAATTCTTTAACATCCTCAGAGCAACGAGGCTCAGTCAGATGGCAGGAATCGAATCCACATTTACTAACCTGCACCTGGAGGTCCCACCAGCACAGCAATAGCCTCCATTAAAAGAACAAGGCCGATGGCGCTGGAGAACTTTTCAGTGCCAACGATGGTCATTAGCACCTCGAACTGTAGCGCGCCCACCATGCCATAGGAGATGCCAAAGAAGATGCAGAAAACTACCAGAGCTGCGTAGTCCTTGGACTGGAGGGAAATTAGCAAAAAAAAAAAAGATTCAAACAGTGAGAAGTATCTTCTTCTCTCTTAGCTCGTAACAAACAGGTCTCCACCCACCTGTGACCCAATGAGGTCAGCAACTCCGTTGAAGAGCATCGCGAAGCTGAAGAAGTAGACGCAGCGAGGTCGAACCCATTTCAGTCCGGCGAGGATGCCACAGGTTGGTCGAGCAAACATATCAATGAAACCCAGGATGGTGAGCAGCAGGGCAGACTTAGTGTCTTCGTTTCCCAGCTCCTTAGCGTAGCTCACAACAAACACAGGGGGCACAAACAGGCCGAGCACCATGATGGAAGCTGCTACTGTGTAGATGACGAACCCCTTGTCTTTAAACACGGAGAAGTCCAGAAGTTTCTGCTTCTTCTTCTTCTTCTTTATCTCTAACTCCTCTAATTCCGGGTCATGATCCTCTGCCTGATCTCCGGCCTTCGGAGCAACCAGAGGCTTCATGAGGGCCCCACAGACACAGCAGTTCAGTAGAATCCCACCCAGGATGAGGAAGCCCCCCCTCCAGCCGTACTGGTACTGAAGAACCTGACCCAGAGGGGAGAGGCAGCAGAGGGCCACGGGGCTCCCAGCGGCGGAAAGGCCGTTTGCCAGGGGACGCTTCTCACTGAAGTAACGGTTGAGCATGATCAGAGATGGCTGGAAGTTCAGAGCTAATCCCAGACCTTCGAAAAGAACAGGAAAACAGATGTTTACATAAATATAAAATTTAACTTTCAAAACCAGAAGATCATCTGCATGAAGGAAAAACACACAAACCAACGACTAAAGAAAGTTTGGGTTTTAGGCAAGGTAGGTTTACTTTAGCTATAAATGAAAAAACATCATAGGAAACATTGCAGTGACATAAAGTTAGTTAAATAGTGATCTGCAAAAATAATAAAAATGAAAAACAAATTAAAATTCTTAATAAAAAAGCTTGACCACAAACCTAAACTAATAATGTCTAAATAGCAATGTAAATCCCTTTATTGTCCCACAATGGGGAAATTCATTCTCTGCATTTTGACCCATCCCTTCAGGGACTGCCATTGTGCGGCACCCAGGGAGCAGTGTGGGGTTAAGAGTTTTGCTCATGTCGCACATCTGGAATAACATAGCACAGACCACGCTTCAAAAATATCTCACTGCAACACACTGCTGCGGAACGATAAGCAGCCCTTGTTTTCTAGTGAGGATGCAGGCAGCAGCATCTAGATCAGCTGCAGCCGCACTTTTTAGGCAAACCTGTGAAGTGAATTCTACTAAAGATGAACGAAGCAGGAGTTAGTTTTCTCAGCATAATCTAATAACCTAGTAATAATAATTTAATCCTGGAGATGTTCTTCAGGTGATAGAAGTCCCACTTTGTTCCTCTCTTTATGAGCTTCTGAGGAAGAGGTAGGCAACGCCGGTCCTAAAGTGCCTCTGTCCTGCAGATTTTGCATGCATCCCTGCTCCAACACTCTTGAAACAAAAGGCCAAATGACCTCCTTTGCAGATTGATAACAGAACTGGGCATCAACAGTTCATTTGTTTAAAGGAATAGTACACCCAAAACATGATTAGCCTTCATTTTCTACTCACCCCCATGCTGAACAA